AAAAAGAGCGATGTATTCACTTGTGACCTATGCACAGAATCAGAGCCTAGTGTGCCTCACTTCTCACCTTTGGGAAAGGTCTGAAGAAGAAGAAAGTAAAAGTTCCATACATCTAAGGGAAGACAAACACTGTAGCAATGATTTTTTTTAAAAAAGGAAGAATGCCAAGTTAGTCGTGGAGTTGGATCACCACTAAGAATATGTTTCTGTTTCGTCACTTGGTTTCTAGTTCAACCTACCAGCTCAGACCTGTGCCTGAGCAACTGGGCAGCTCCTTCACTCCTCAGGCTTGCTTCGTGACCCCACCCTGGGGCGGTCTCTCCATTTGGACCCAGGCTGCTGCCCTGCAGTACACCCCTCTCTCTTAGTCCCGCCTGTGTACCTGCCAAGGGCGGGGGGTTGGGTGGCACCCTCGGAGTGATGCTAGGCTCCCCAAAGGAAGCTGTCACCCTTAGGCTCCTAGTAAGGAGCCCTGGGAGGTGACAGCTGGGCATTCATTCAGCTGGGAGGGAGATAGCACAGATTACAGATGCCTATCTAGTGGATGGGAGGAAGTCACCCTGGGGAAGGACTCGTCTGTATTTCAGCTGGTTTGGTGGTGGAAGAGTGGGGTTGGGAACTTTTTATTCCTTTTTTTTTTTTGAGACAGGGTCTTGCTATGCAGTCAGGCTGGCCTTGAGCTCCCTCTGTAGCCCAGGTTGGCCTTGAACTCCTGGCTGTTCTCCTGCCTCAGCCTCCCAAGTGCTGGGATTACAAGAGTGAGCCACCACACCAGCAGGATTGGGAACTATTGCACCATGACTTCCCTCCGCCCGTTGCACTGGAGATTGAACTCAGGGCCTTTGGACTGAGCTACATACCCAGCCTTTTGTTGTTGTTGTTTAATTTTTTTTATTTTGAGACAAGATCTTGCTAAATTGCCCAGGCTGGGCTTAAATTTGTGATCCTCTTGCCTCAGCCTCCCAGAGTGCTGAGGTTACAGGGGTGTACCACCATGCCCGGTGCACTGTGAATTCTTAGTATGTCATGATGGTTTTCCCAAATCCACTCAACTGGCACATACAGGACTGGAACTTCTCTCTTTTTTGGGGGGGGGGTGGTACCAGGACTCGAACTCACAATCTCACGCTTGCCAGACAGGCACTGTGCTGCTGAGCTATATCCCCGGCCCCTGGAACTTCTCTTTAGTCAGGTTCTGTCCCTGAAAGGACAGGAAAAATCATCAAGAATAACAGTCAGAAAACCAGAAACTCACATAGGAGACCTGGGTTATTGGGGCAGATGTCAGAAGTCATATTCAAGGGGTGGCTGTAGCAGTGTGAGGGAAACATTGCCTATTGGTCACTGAAAAATTCCCTCTAAAGACTCTAATCCCCAGGAGAAAGAAATACAACAAAGGTTTTAAGTCAGAATATAAGTAGTTGACCTAATTATAAGGTTGTCTTTCTATTTGTTTAATTAGTAGATACTTCTGTGGTGTGGGACAGCAAGGTCAAAACATAGCCCTGTATATTAACAATGCTGTCCCGGGGCTCTGGAAACAGTGGTGACCAAGTGTTCAGCTACAGTCTTGTTCTGTCTTAGTCTCCAGGATGGCATGGATCAGAAATGGAGGAGCATATTGAAGCAGCATCCCAAAAATTAGTTCTGAAAAACACCGAAAGGGAAGAAAAATTGAGCGCCTTGAGATCCAGCCATGACCTAAGGGGGCCGCAAATGAGTTGCCTCACCCTGAGGCGCCTCTCGGGGAGCCCTGGAGGCAGTGAGTGACTCAAGTCACATGCGGGACAGGGCTGCTGACGGGCGTTTCCTGCGCCTGTCATCCCGTCAGCCAGACACTGCACAGCGTTTGTTTGCCAAATTGTGGTACATTATGCAAATCTAAGTTCAGTGAAATTAATGCTTAGAAATACAGCTAGGAAAATCTAGAAAAGCCCTGTGACAAAGTGTGATTACTGAGATTAGAGTGCTTTGAACTTGAGCAGTAGGGAATCTTGCAAACTCGTAGGATTAACCAGGACAAGTACCCCTCTCTTAGGAGAAGCACTCACATTTGTACAGGATCCCAGCGCTATGGGAGAGGTATTTCAGGTACTTTAGGGCTGCCTTACGAGGGAAGGAAAGAGGCAGAACATCTTCCAACACCCAGAGGAAGTTTCCTTTCCACAAAACCCTGGAGTTTGAATCATCTGGGTTGGTTAACTGGGCAGAAAAAGAAACCGTGAGGAAGGAACCTGCGCGCAGCTCCGGAGGACGTGACGGGGTGAACGCCACACCGCAGCCTCCTCGGTGTCCAGAGTTGAGCCCCAGCCCTTGCTGTAAGATGTGAAGAGTCACTCCAAATTTATAAGCTCATTAAACAAGTACTTTTGACTGTCTACATGTATGGCTTTAAAAAAAAAATACACAGACTGCTTCCAGCCGCACCCAGACCTTCTCCAACCACTTAGCTGGCAGTTTTTTCATCTAATTACTCAAGTGAGCGTCTGTTATTTACACAGTTTGTGGAAGGCAGGGCAGAAGGGATTTGTGGTTCAGTACCCCTGGCAGGCCATAGGGTCAAGTTCAGACCATCTTTTGAAATCAGTTTTACCTGTCAGGTGACCGGAAACCGCTGGA